AAGTCAAGCAAAGGAAATAAGTACTATTATGCTTTTATGTGTTTTTACTCGATTGGCTAGAGCACTGAGTACTTCCGGGTCAAAGTTGGTTGTACACCCCATGTGCTTCTCGTGCCTCGATGTTGTTACGTTTATGTCTAATTTAGTGAAGTGACAGATTATACTCGTCCTGTTTTGTCCTGATATAGCTATTGTAAGCGTGCTGCTGGTTCAGTATGTGGCAGAACATATCTTCATCCAGTTCACAGGAAAAGGAAAAGAGAGGTGAGTGCTGAGCAGCAATCTGGCTTACAGTGTTTACTTTTAGAGATATTCCTGATTGAAGATCATGACAGTATTCAGTACTCAGAAAAGGCTGCTGTCGGTGGTTTTCACTCGCACTTGTTTGCAGGTTCTAGATACGAGTGTCCTGCAGACTTTGTGCCTCTTCAGTACAGCTGCAGTGAGAAGTGTGTGTTGGAGAGAGGAGAAGACACTGAGCTGTGGCTCATTAAAGCTCCAGCTCGCTTCAAGCCCAGCAGGTGAGGAAAGCAGCCAGCCACGGTCACTTTCTCCAATGTCTTCTAGATAAGGGCTTCTCACACTGTTCACATACCTCTTTAAGGATGGATGGAAAGATGGATGGCTGTTTATGAAGGCAGTCCAACTAATCAAATATTAAGCTCATTATTTAATGTGTGCAATGATTATTTTGATTATTTATTGGAGCCATAGAGCTTTTATTTGTGAATCTTTCACTTCACAGAACCCATTTTAAACCCCTAATCAAAATTACCATTAAACATTATTGACCTTATTTATAGACTTACTTGTTTTTTAGTTATTGAAGTTTAGACAAACAGGCTAATAACTGTAAGAGCTCATTATAATATAACATATGTAATATATGATTATTATATATATGTAATAATTATAATAACAACAATAATGGATGGTTATGATTTCCATCACTATAAGAAGATTTTTTATTAAAGGAGGACGTGCCGGCTGTGCTTCACATACCCCTGGGAGTCCCCAGACCCCTGTTTGAGAACCATGGCTCTAGATATATGGAGTTATGTATCATGATAGTTGAAGACGTTTTCATGACATGTATCATGATATTTAGTATTGCTGAAGTCTACTAAAAATATATATATATATATATATATATATATATACAGTCAGGTCCATAAATATTGGGACAGTGACACAGTTTTGGTAATTTTGCCTCTGTACACCACCACAGTGGATTTGAAATGAAGCAGTCAAGATGTGACTGAAGCGTAGACTTTCAGCTTTAATTCAAGGGGTTTAACAAAAATATTGCATTAACCGTTTAGGA